CACATACCACCCCACCAACCTCCAAATCCAATACATCATCCTCCACCACTTTCGCCACCTGCAGTCAGACCCCTTCACCAAAGAGATATTCCCCTCCCCACCCCTACCTGCTTTCTGTAGGGACCACGCTCTCCATGACTCCCTCATCTACTTCACACTCCCCACCAACCTTTCCACACCCGGCACCTTTCCCTGCAACCGCAGCAAGTGCTACACCTGCCCCTACACCTCCCCCCTCCCCCCCTCCTCACCCTCATCTCAGGCCCCAAACAATCATTCTGTATCCTATAGGGATTCACCTGTACATCCTTCGACCTGATCTACTGCATCTGTTACTCTTGGTGTGGTCTCCTCTGTATCGGAGAGACCAATCGCAGACTTGGTGATAGATTCATGGAGCATCTGCACCCTGTATGCTACAATCAACACCACCTTCTGGTTGCCAACCATTTTAACTCCCCTTCTCACTCCCTCGGCAACATGTCCATTCTGTGCTTCCTTCAATGTCACAATGAGGTCACATGCAAATTGGAGGAACAACACCATATGTTCTGCCTTGGGAGCCTCAATGTAGAATTCACTAGTGACAAAAGCTCCCCACCCCACGGCCTCATCCCGTGTCCAGCCCTCCCTCTCATCCTTGCTTCCTTGACCCGACACAACCTGTCCACCTTCCTTCTCGCCTATCCGCCGATCTTTCCCATTGACCAATCTCCACGACCCTTTACCTACATTCACCTAACACCACCCCACCTACCCTCGTGCAGCCCCCCCCCCCCCCATTTATTTCTGAGCTCCTTCCCCCTCCTAAGTCTTGATGAAGGATCCTGACCCGATGTGTCGACTTTCCTGCTCCTCTGATGCTGCCTAACCTGCTGTGTTCCTCCCGCTCCACACTGTGTTGATTCTGACTTCCAGCACCTGCAGTTCTTGCTATCTCCTTAGGTTTTATCTGTTGTATCCCTCTGGTGGTTTGGCTGCGATTTCTCTACATGAGTAATTTTAGACACAAAAATGATTGTCCTTGTCGGTCTATGATACAAACAGTCCATTGGTGTAATTTTCTTATTCTGTTAGAAAGGAAGCTTTGGTATGTTGGGGAAGTATTGGTTATTTTCACTGGCATCTCTGATAAGTTTCATAGTTTCCTCTTCACTTATAATTAGCTTCATTGCCAACTGAAATAAATGCTCATTTTTTTTTTACCATTCTCTGCTCTCCATTGGCGCAGCTTATATGACCCCTGTCTTCATTTAGCAACTTTTTTAGTTTAATAAAATGCCCTAAGACACATCAGAGATACCTTTTATGATTATGTATGACACAGTCATATGAGACATTTGGGGAAAATGACCTAACGCAAGGTCAAAGAGGTTTTGAGGCGTGTCTCAAAATGGAAAGTGAGTTAGAGAGGTGTCAGGAATGATTCAAGAGTTTACTACCTCGGCAGCTGGCATCATGCCCACCAAAGGTGGGCAGCGATTAAAATCGGAGCTGCACAAGAGGCTGAAATTGGAGGAGCGCAGCCATGTTAAGGGGTTGTGGAGCTGGAGAAGAATTGAAGGGTCAGGCCATGGAGCAATTTAAAAATGAGGATGCAAAATTTAATTTCAAGCTCACCTGGGAACCAGTCTAAGTCAGTGAGCATAGAGGTGATGAGTGAACAACACAGGAGGCAGAGAATTAGAGGACTTTGAGCTTATGGAGGATTGAATGTGGGAGGCCAGTTAGGAGTACCTTAAAAATGTTAATTCTTACTTTCTTGCTGGTTATTGCGCTGAATGTTTTTGTTTGTTCTTGACTGCCTATTTCCCTGCTCTCAATGCCCTTCTTAAAAGTTGCTCTCTGGTGCCACCTCTGGCAAGTACACTTAAAGCTGGAGTTTCCACAGTCTCACACACACCAGGAAAATCAATTTAAAAAAAAACTGCGAATGCTCTAAATCAGGAAACAAGACAGAAATTGCTGGAAAAGCTCAGCAGGTCTGGCAGCATCTGCGAA